AGATTGCCAGTATATGACTTCCTATTCAAGTGCAATAGTAACTTTGGACCTATCTCTGCCAGTTTTGGAGATAAAAGGGAACAAAAATTTGCAAAGTTCAGTTCATGGTGAAAAGTAGGTCAAAGGTATATTTTAAGGTAACAGTAAATTGCCTCTAATGACTTTCTATTCAAATTCAATAGTAACTATGGGCGTATCTTTGCCAGTTTTGAAAGTATAAGCATTAAAAAAGTTGCAAAGTTCAGTTTAAGGTGTAAAGTAGGTCAAAAGCCAATTTCAAGATCAGAGTAATATTACCAATATATAACTTCCTATTCAACTTCAATTGTAAATATGGACCTATCTCTGCCAGGGATGGAGCTAAAAGGGAAATAAATTAGCAGAGTTCAGTTCATGATAAAAAGTAGGTCAAAGGTCAATTTCAAGGTCACACTCAGATTGCCAGTATATGACTTCCTATTCAACTTTAATAGTAAATATTGACCTATCTCTGCCAGTTTTGGAGATATAAGGGATAAATGTTACAATTCTGAGTTACAATAATGTGCCACCACAATGTACTTTTTAATACAGCATAACACGAAAACCGTATGAAATACAAAAAAACGGAGACCACTCCCAATGTTGGGCTGTACATGCTCTACAAAATGCAAAAAAGAACGGGTCTCTAGCATTAACGGTTCCCGAATTAGAGACAGTTTTCAGTTTCGGTATCTTATGGCCGCTACTCCTGTGAAAATGCACTGATTGACCCCAAACTCACGGAGATGAAAGATGACCCAAAGGGTAACACTTTCCAATAATATTATTGGTTAAGTCTGTGTAGTGTCTGAATAACAGCGCAAATAGTTTTTTTTTTCGTAAAAAATTTCGTGTTTTTGAAAATTTTGGCCCGTTTGACCTTAAAATAAAGGTCAAAGGTCAAATCTAAGGGCATATTTGAAATCTACACATATGACTTTTGGAAAGCTGTCTGTAGAAATTTAAGAAGAAGTCTGTAGAAAAGGGTAGATAATTGGCATTGAATTTTCAAAAATTTTGACAAGGGTGCATTTCAACGAGCGTCACGCCCAGGTCAATGCACCGACTGAGACAAAAAAACTTGGGGGTTCAAGTTGAGGTTATGTGTGACCTAAATCCAAGAGATGGGGACAGGGGTCCTTGCGGTCTAGGAGGAGAAGCGGTAACGGTGACTTGTATCCGGCGCCAGTACGCGGAGCCGGCGGAGCTGCAGGAGCCGGCGGAGCCACAGGAGCCGTACGAGACGGGTCGGGACTAAAACCATGAGTACCGCCAGCGTACACGCTGGTGGTACTAATTAATTGATTCAAATTAAAAACATATCCACCTCAGAACCACACTGAACTTAATTATTAAGAAAGCTGTACAAAGAAAATGAAATAAAACAAACCATTTAGTATTACCTTCTATATTTTTTGCCATTAAAAACCTGCCTAGTGTGCTTTCAAAGAGCTCCATTTGCACCTTCTGTCCTTGCTGATGTAATTCCCGCATGCAATCAAGCAAAATTTCTGAAAAAAATTGCACAACAAATACAGAGTAGATACAAGTTTTTTTCTTTTCAGGCACTTGCATTGTTGGGTCAATTTTAGACAAATTTCTAAGTGGGGTATTTCGGACAAACCAGCTGAATGAAAATGAAAGATTCCACACTAACAAAGCGTAATGACATGTTCCCTCTTTCACTGCGTTATAAATCTCAATTCACGGAATGTAACAAATGAACACATGTAATGAATGAGCACTTGAAAGGGCAAGATGTGGAAGTTGTTCTCAAAAACCTATTGTTCAACATTCATTCTCATAACTGACCCATATAAGCCACATAAATAGATCAAGTTTCAGGGAATAATATACTTTTTTGAAATCATTTATGAAGTGCTTATATTGGAAAGACCCCCTCAAACAGATAAGAACTTATAAGGAAATTAAAAAAAAAGAAAATGCATATATATGGCCAAAGCATATCCAAATCTTACCAGGTCTATCTGGCAAGGGTTTTAATGTAGTTATAATACTAGAAATGGAGGGTCTCTTCTCAGATGGCAATCCTTCACTTTCTCCTATACCCAAAATCTGCTCATGAATCTCTTTGAGTGTCTGCAATAAAAACTTCTTAACAGTAATTGCAAAATCCTCAACCTCCACAGATCAAGCTAGTCATTGAGTGTATCCTATAAAACTATTAGTTCCTGCAAATAAATATCCCAATGCCAGAAAAATGAAAATATATATAGGCATGCACACCAATGAATGGGCGAATGAAGGAACCATAAACAAATGAGATTAAAAAAAAACTTAAAAACATATCAGAAAATTACTTGTTCAAATATGACTTCAGTCCTTATGACTGATTGTATGAGGTCTGTCAAATAGTTCTAACACTTACTTTGCCTGATTTAATTTGACTTCGTATAAGTATCTCCAAAATCACGTCAAATGTCATCCGGGTCTTTACAATCCTGTACAATTTCAGTACCAAGTCCTGCTGGCCTTCATTGGAAGCCAGGTGGATATAATTCATGAGAAGAGCCATGTTGTCCTCACTTGTGTGTTCATAGTCAATTTTTACTGTCTGGATGAGCTAAAATGTAATAAAAATACTCCCCAGGTAATGTGTAAAACATTAAAAAAATCACACAAAATGTTTGTTATAGGGAATGAATTTTGACTAATTGTAGTGCTCATTTTCATTCTGACAGGATATTTGTCACCCAACTGCACATCTTTCAGATATTGCCAAAACAAGGATAAATTTTATGCAAAATTTGCTAAAAAAAAAAACAGCTTTTGAAAAATAAAAATTTTACATCTTTACATGATAATAACTTACCCCATCATACATATCTTCATGCCCCAATGTCCATGCCTTCCTCAGCAAGTTCAATGATTGCTTTACATGCAAATCAACACCTGCAGCTGTCATCTGATTTAAAACCTTGGTTAAAAAAACAAATAAGTTTTGAGCAAGACCCTAAATGAAATGTGTTGGCAAACCAATACAACTATCGATACAAAATGTCCTTTCTCTTGAGAAACAATTAGTAGCCATTTTTATAACAAGATCATTCAAACTCCCAAAATTTCTTTGAAAGTGAATTAAAAATTGGTGGCTCTTAGATGTTTGATCTATTTGAAACTATTTTTATTTATCTGTTTCTTTATCATACTGTAATTGTAACATTAATAGTATCAACCGATCAGAGCGGCATTACAGCTGCCAGGCATTGCACCACCAGCAAGATTAATCTTATTCAAGTTTAATGGTACCTATGGATGTCTCTGCCATTTTTAGAGATATAAGGGTCTAAAATATTTGCATAGTTCAGCTCACAGTGATAAGTAGGTCTAAGGTCAATTTCAAGGCCACATTTAGAATGCCAGCATATGACTTCCTACTCAACTTCAATAGTAACTATGTCCCTATCTCTGCCAGTTTTGGAGATAAAAGGGACAAAAATGTTGCAAAGCATAAGCATTTAAAAGTTGCAAAGTTCAGTTCTAAGTGAAAAGTAAGTCAAAGGTCAATTTCAAGGTCACAGTTAGATTTCTAGCATATGACCTCCTATTCAACCTCATCAGTAACTATGGGCCTATCTCTGCTAGTTTTGGAGAAATAAGGGACCAAAAAGTCACAATTTTAGAGTTACAGTAATGTGCCATATATTTATTACAGAAGAAATTAACTGAAATAAATGAAAAAAAAAATAAATAAATAAAAGGTCTTTTTTGTTGAAATTTATGAAATGGGAGGTGCTCCGAAATTCCAGATGTTTGAATTTTATGAAATAATATCATTTTTGACCAGAAGTTGTCTGCCTCCCAAAGCCTTATGTTATCTTTTCCAGACGTTTGAAATTTTACGCATATTACCGTATTGCACATTTTATTTTCACCACCACAATGTACTTATTGATACAGCGTAACTCGTAAACCGTATGGAAAACAAAAAAATGGTCACCACTTCCACTGATGGGCTTGACATGCTCTACAAAATGCAAAAAACAAGAGGTCTCCAGCATATGCGGGTTCTGAATTAGAGAGAGTTTTCAGTTTCGGTATCTTATAGCAGCTACTCCCATGAAAATGCACATAGGTTAGGTTTGTGTAGTTTCTAAAAAATCTGCACAAATAAAAATTCTTTTGCAAAAAAATGCTCATTTTTTAAAAACTTTGACCCTTTTGACCTCTAAATAATGGACAAAAGTCAAATCCAAGGGCATATTAGCAATCTTCACATATGACTTTTGGTCAGCCATCTGTACAAATTTTCCCCTCAATTCCTTCGGTTTGGGAGATATTTAGCATTTAAATTTTGCAAATTTTGAACAAGGGTGCATTGCAACAAGCGCCATACCTAGACCCCAGCACTGACAAAGCCCAAAATTTGTATGGATCGAGTTGAGATTATATCTGACCTAAATCCAAGAGATGGGTGCGTAGGCTCTTGTAGTCTAGGAGGAGAAGCGGTAATGGTGACTTGGCGGCAGAGCCAATGGAACATGCGGGTCGGGACTAAAACCATGTGTACTGCCAGCGCCTACGCTGGTGGCACAATTAATGATAACAAATATATTCTCATTCAGTCACTATGGTGCAAAATCACACACATGTACACACAGTAACGACTAGATGGGGAAAAATTATTAATTCTCCAGATACATCAATTTGGAATCACTAATAAGTATATTCTGTAAAGTATTTTCTACAATGTAGAATAGGGTACAAGCCTACTTTTTAATTATCTTGCCACCACTGGACAAAAGGAATGCTCCAATTTTGAGAACTAATGACTTTAAAAAAAANAGCAGATCTTTAAAGCAGCTGTACTTGATGCCGCCCGCCTCTCGGATGTTATACTGCTGTGGGGTGTTGTTGAACGCAAACACAGCCAGCGCCATGCCTGCCTTCAGACGGATATTCTGAAATATACCATACCTCATGTTAAATAATTTTCACATCAAATGTTCTTTAGACTAGCTTTAGTTTTCAACTTTCTGCAGAAACCAAATGAGGTGTCACAACTAGTTAAAAAAGAAAAGTTTTTGTGTCTAACGGATGTAATATTTTGACTCAGGGTCACGGAGCCTCCAACATTTCTTTTGAGTTATACTCTTTTGAGTGGAATTTTATAAAATGTATGAAGTGGTAAGAACTGTTTTTTGTTGTTGTTTGGAGAAACTATCACTGTAATTATAACTGAAAAAAAAAAGAAAAAGAAAAAATATTACCATTTTCTTGGACACCAGCAAATCCAGCAGCAAGTTGAACTTGAAATCTGTCTCCGCCTTCAGCAGTTCCTGGTTCTCCGTGTTACACAGCACGATACATCCTAGCGTGTTGGCCACCTCCACCTGGATGTCAGGAGACGGAGGCTTCACCAGGAGCTTCACAAGGATAGTGATGCCGTTTTCTTCTGCTATCTTCTTCTGGACCAGTTTGTTGTTCCTATGGGCCACGCCTGGAAGGGGATAAAGGCAATGTTTCATTATCTATGCTCCAAAAATAAATAGGTTAGAATTTATTAATGAGATAATAATAAACAGAGTCAATAAAATTGTACCTCCTACTTTTCTTTATAATCAAAATAAAATATGTCTGTCTGTGTATGTCTGAGAGAGAGAGAGAGAGAAGGGGGGGAGGTAGAGAAAGCGAGAGAGAGAGAAAGAAAGAAGGAAGGAGAGAAAGATAGTCTAGAAAGAGAAAGAATGGGAGTAAGACAGAGAGGGAGGGAAAAGAGAGAAAGAATGAGAAAGAAAGAGCGAGAGAGTGTGTTGGGAGTGGACACCTTACCCACACACAGTGTTCCCAGTGTCTCAATGACCTGTCTGAGCACCCTTTCAGTGGTGTTGTTTGACCGCAGTAATCTGACCAGGGGTGAGATGCCACCTTCATTGGTCATCTTGCTCTGGTTGTCCATGTTTTCTCTGCTCAAGGCAATCACAGCTCGGCAACCTTATAATTTATTAACATAACTTTCAGTCAAGGTGTTAACTCATACGTATCTCATCATATCTGTATCACCATAAAATATGTCACACCCTAAGTGTTGTTCATGTCAAAAAAAGTAATTAAGTATGCACTGGAAGATACAAGTTACACTCTAGCAATTTTTTTTATTCCACATAACAAAACTCCTTCCACAAAATAGCCTTCAAGACAAGCTCATTCATACCTTGTAATAAAGTCCTTACAATAAAATACAAATGGAGTATAATTTAACAATATATGACACGTTTTTAAACAATAACTTTACATAGTAGCTAAGACAAATGCCCAATCATGAAGAGATTTCATCTACTGGATGCAAATAGAGCATGAATCAACACAAGTAATTTCAAACATCCAACATAAATAAAATTCATAAACATTCATAAAATGTAAAAAGACTGTGGATTAACATACAATAACCAAGACAAATGCCTAATGAAGTACTCCCATCTATTGCTTTTAAATGTAGTATGGATTAACAAATAGAAACTAATTCAAACATTCAACATACCTACAAACTGTAACTTCTCAGACCCAGACAACAACATCTCAATGAGTTGATGAACACCAATCCTCTCTGCTATAAACTTCTGTTGTCTGTGGGTGTGTCCAGCTAACGCCCACAGCGCTGTGGCCCCCTGCTCCTTTACTGAGACTGACCACACCTATGGACATTGTGATTACATTGTGATTTTACAGACACTCAATGATATGTTTTTTTTTTTTAGAAAATCCTATAAAGTGCACAATATGACAAGGATGCCATTTAAAGACAATCCATGATTTGTAATTTTTCTCATAAAATCCATTAAGGAATATCAGGCATGCTGGAATTTCACACAGCAAGTGTTATTTCCTAATGCTGGGGAAATTTCAGCACGGTACCCTATATACAACACTGTTGAGAAAATTACTGAGTTCCATATATCCCTTCTTAAAGGCATAATAACTCTTTGTATGAGACCTATATTTCACAATAAAAACAATGTGTTTAACTCATAGAAATATAATATATTCTGTTTTACCACAAAAACAGCAGTTATAGCTTTTATTCTGATATTTGAACTTGTCTTTAGACCACGTGACCTCCATTGATGTCTATACTCTGTTAAAATCTCTTAAGAGATTTTAACAAAAAACCAAACTTTTTAGAAAAAAACCAGGGACTAACTTTGAATGTAAAAATGGATTCATTAACCATTGGTAAGTATGGGAAAATTGTTGTTTACTCCAGGAAAATTCATTTTTTGGCCGAAACGAAGAGTTATTATTGCTTTAAGCTTTAATTTCCTTCTGTTTGCCATCACAAGTTTAATTCACCAGACTTGCATATATACTGAACAAGTAATGGTCATTAAAATTTTCTATTAAAAAAAAAAAAGATGACAAGTAATATGGCCGAAATGCAACTTGTTGTCGGAAGGTTAGTGAATCCGGTAAAGTAAATTCTTGAATTGCACTGTCTTGTGATAGTGAAAATGAGAAAATAAAGGCTCATTTTTATATACAGACACTGTAAGTGTCTGCATATATTCTGAATGGTCTGTCTGTCTTACCTTAAAGAACTTGGTGAGGACCTTGGGACACTCCAGCTCCAGAAAAGCGTGTTGACTGGGAGGGTTGTTCTCAGCCAACGCCTCCACTGCAGCCGCCGCCTTCACCTGCACTGTGATGTTACCACGCCCCTTGATCAGGTTGACCAATGGCCTACAGTTCATAAAAACATGGACAGAATTTATTTATGATAAAATAAAATAACTTTCCATTTCTAGACAGGTTTTTTTACAGGCATTGTATATTAGATGATAATCTAATAATAAAACAAATCAACTTATGAATTGAATATGTTATAACAAAAATAAACTCATTTTCAGTTTAAGATCTGTTGCTGTTATGTATAAGATTATGGCTATTAATTTATGATTTAATTTAAAGCACCTGACTGCGCCCTCTGCCACCACTGCATCCTGGTTCTTACGATGTCCACGACAAAGAGCTGCAATGGCAGCTGATGCTGCTGCTTGAAGAATATCTGAAAATTTCAAATGTACACAAGGTCAAAAATTTTAGCTGATTCCTAACAAACTGAATCTTAAATGATAATGAAATATGAAATATGCAATATGAAAAGTCAAAATGCAATAGGTAAAGTCCCTTCTTTCCCCTGTTCTCTCATACGAAATGTGAATGACTCTCTCTCTCCCAATCGTAATCTCTCTCTCTCTAAAAGTTTGTAGCAACAAGTTTGCAGGGGTTTGAAAGAAAAAAAATAATTAATTGCTGCTGATTTGCAGCCATATTGCAGCACATTTGCAAGAACGAATTGCAGTTTGCTGCAGTATTTCAGGCCTGAAATTTTGCTAAGAGCTATTACCTGAGTTGACAGTCAGGAACTCCACCAGTGGCTCAATGCCTCCGCACTCCGCCACACACGACTGGTTGGTGTTATTATTGGTGCACATCACACGAATCGCGTTCACTGCATTCACCAACACGTCCTCAAGCACCGAGTCTAATAAATTGACCAATGGCTGAATGCCTCCTTGATCTGTTATGGAGTCCTGGTTGTTATCGACACACGCCAAGTCTGATAATATTATTGCAGCACGGGATTGGATGTCATCCACAGGGGAGGATAAGAGCTTGATGAGGATTGGTCCAGCTTGTGCAGTTGTAAGAGCATGTCTGATTGGTTCGTGTTCTGATATGTTGCATAATGTCGCCGCAGCAACGGCTTGAATTTCTTCGTTGTCCAGTTTGAGCAATTCCACCAGGGCAGAAACACCACCTGTAATTTTTGTAAAACATTTTAAATATCACACTTGTCTGATGCTACTATTATCGATTTTTACCAAATAATTACTGTAATTTGCACAGAACCGCTTTTAAAAATTAAGCATTTTGTCTAATATTTTGTCAGTGAAAATGAAATATTCTTGTACAATTATTAGAAAAAAATCAAATACAACCAGATACATGTAGATCAAAGATGGATTCAATTTTAACTTTTAAACCAATAAACTTAATGCAACAACAACAACCATCTCAAAAATTCCTGGACGTTACCTTTATATTATATCTCACCTGTACCTACCTGCCTTAAGTACTGACTGCCAGTGTAAGGGATCTGAAGTAGACAAAGTCTCCATACACTTCACAGCACTGTCTTTTTTCTTGATGTCCTCATTTTTCATCATTCCTAAAACAGACAACTTGGTTTCAATACACTGAATACAGTCCTCAGTCTGTAGTATGTCATCTTCTGTACTTACGTTCTTCTTATTTTCTATGGGTTTGAATTGTTAATTGGTCGTGAGATACCACTGAGTTATGCCACTCACTGCTCATGCACTGAACATTATTTGACTAATGTTTTTCTTACTTTTTTAATAAAGAGACATACATTTCAGTATTAAAATATAAAAATAAAATGGATATTGGGACAACGAGTGTAATAACTGAAAATCCCTGTAACCTGCAACTTGACGTTCATAGTACAGTCTGTTTCTCTCCTGTACAGCATTACACCAGTACACCATTCTACAACTACTACCAAGGAAGTCCACAGCAGACTAACAGACACAAATACACCACAGTTGCCATGGTAACAAGCTCACCAACCCACCCACCCACATCACATACGATTAAATCCCAGACCAGTACAACAGTTACAATTACACTGACTCAAATCGTTACTGTTACCAAGGAAGTCCACAGTTGACTGAAATACACCACAGTTGCCATGGTAACAAGCTAGCAAACCAACTAATCAACATACCTACGAGTAAGTCCCAGACGGGCAGTTCTTTATTGTCCCACTTGATCAGCCATTCCAGGACATGTGTGTGTAGTTTGAGGGTGGCCAGGTGAACCATGTTGTTCTTGTTGGAGTCACAGGCTGTGATCTTAGCTTGGAGGTTGATCAGACATATCACGCAGTCCAGTGCCCCAGCACCTGCCGCCAGCAGCAAGGGAGGGGATCGGAGACTGGAAGGTTGAAATTTTCGTTATGATGATCAATTCAAATAAAGGTACAACTGTGATGTATTATAGGGATAATAACTCTTCGTTTCGCCAAAAAATGAATTTTCCTGGAGTAAACAACAATTTTCCCATACTTACTAATGGTTAATGAATCCATTTTTACATTCAAAGTTAGTCCCTGGTTTTTTTTCTAAAAAGTTTGGTTTCTTGTTTTAACAGAGTATAGCCATCAATGGAGGTCACACGGTCTAAAGACAAGCTCAGATATCAGAATAATAGCTATAACTGCCGTTTTTGTGGTAAAACAGAATATATTATATTTCTATGAATTATTCACAATGTTTTTATTGTGAAATATAGATCTCATACGAGGAGTTATTATCCCTTTAATCATGATCCTGATTAGTAAATTTTTAATAACTATTATAAAACAGTTCTTCCAAATGCCATAGAACATTAAAATATTATTCAATATTGTATAATGTTATCATTTTTCAAATAACTTTTATAACAATAAAAAATAATTCAAAAGTACATTTGTAAATTTTAAGCATTTGCAAAAAAAAAGTTAATCAATGTGGTGATAATTGTGCTTGGCTACAATAAGTCCCCCTTTCTTAAAAATGTACATGCCAAATATAAAGACACATCCGGTTGCAACCCGATGTAAAATTTCTTTGAGAAACTTTAATTAGGCTTAATAATTATACATTATCCCTCAAACAGAACTTACTCATTTTTGGTGGGTAACTCCAGCAGAGCCGGCTGCCTTCTGATCATCAGTTGTAACACAGGGGCGTTATCAAAGAACGCAGCGTGATGCACGGGCGCCCAGCCAATGCTGTCATGGATCAGAGGGTTACTGAACGGCATGCTCATCAGGCACGCCGCCGCATCCAGGGAGCCGCAACGGGCTGCAAGATGGAGGGGAGTAGGACCTGAAAAGGGCAAGTATTCCAAAATAACTGATACAGGTATTCTAATAAAGTGATAGTTTGAATACTACAAAGTGATGTTTGTTTCTTTTTGTTTTTTTTTTTTTTTTTTTTTTTTTTTTTTCACTTGTCAGTTTGACAGTTTTGTCCATCAATTTGCTGTAGCATGCATTATTAAGTATCTGGCATGAAATGGAATGAAATCTACAGGTTGAGAACCAAAAGTACATGCCTGGATTTGATAGAATTGAACATTGGACATACTGAGAATAGACCTTTCAACATGGACCAAAAGAATAGACCAGGTTTAACAATAGTTCTATACAAGGTACATATTCCTTGATTTTTTACATCTTGCAGAAAAAAAAAAAAAAAAATCATACGATCAATTTGTATGTAAACCAGTAGCTTGTATTTATGCCAGGAGATGGTTTGACTATAAGAAAAAAAAAAATGCCCTACAAACTTATCACTGACTCAATATTGCACATCAATGAAAAATGTAAACCAAATTTATTTCAATGTCACTATGTTATATAGAATTTCAATTTTGTTACAATGAACTGCAATACCTGCTTTCATCAAAAAAGAAAAATAGCATTAATTTTGTGAAACAATACCAAATAAAAACCTCACTCGGTGCAACACTTCTGTAAAACCAATAGGTGCAGGGTTGATTACTTTCAAATTGATTAATAAATAAAAAACAATTTGAAATTAATATATTTAAAGGCTTTGGCTGGCATGCTTGTTTAATTTCTATATCTGCTATGCTAAGGTAACAGATAAGTAGAATACTGAATATTCTGAGCTATAGTAAATGGTTACATATGTCCTATTTGCAACTTAGATCAATTTATTTGGTTAAACTCAATCGAATTAAAATCTGGGATAATAATAATAATAATAATAATAATAATAATAATAATAGCTCCTACAGGGAAAGGTATCAGCAAGTTGGGGCACTGTAAGAGAACGTTTACACTGAAAAAACAGCTGTGTTAATCATCAAATATAGCACCATACATGAAAGAACACATTCTAACCAATAAAACCAGCATGCAAATTAATGAAGCTACTTCAATCGTTAATCATCGTCAACAAAAGTCTTCATTGAAACTATGTGTTGTTGGGTTTCAGCATGCATACACATGTTTTCATTATACCTTCGTTGGCTCTGGAAACGCCTGGAGTTCCTTCCCCAACCTCTAGTCCTTGTGAGGAAAATAATTATTACCATGTCATTAACTACATTAAATTTTGAAAATTATTTTCAATTCTCCTGGGCTTAACCTTGACTTAGAACATTTGCAAAATGTTTAAATATGTGAATATATGAATATCATTAAGCATTTTTCTCTTTTTTACTTGCATATAAGTTGGCAATGAATGCCTCTCATGTGTAGCCCTAATATTTCTTACTTAAAATCTGATGATTGACTATTTTCAAGTTTTAAATATTCTGACATCATCTCTGAAACATTTCAGTCTTATGAATGATATTTAAGTTTATAAACAAGATGTGAATTCAAAGTGAAAGTGACAGTGCTCAGTGTTTATATTCATGTCAGCAGATTGTGAGATTTTTGCCAAATGTTGCCTTAAGAAAATTTTTCTGTCAAACAAATGAAATAATAAGAAAGTAAAAAAAAATGATTTCAGTTATGATAAATAAATAAATAAAAAAATCTTTCATTCATGGCAAAAATAATTACTGGCTTGTGGGTAAAAATCCAGCCATCATATGCTACATTCAGTGGACTAACAGATCTGCAGATCAAATATTATGGCTGGCCATCCTGAATGCTTGTTCTGTAACCGGGAATCTATTTGGTGTGTAATTGGGAATTAAGTGACAAGTTTTTATTAGCTGGTCACCATATTTGATCTGCAGTCTGTTAGCCAGCTGTTCTGAATACGCTTTAAGATAAATGTGACATACAACACTGTGATGTGGTGATGTGATCATAATATATTGTGACAGTGCATCCATATAACTCATATATGCAAAATATATAGGAGTGTTATAGTAAGACATTACGTATATTTGAATCAAGCAAAATCCATCCATTCTTAGATGTGTTTGATAAATAATGTCGTGTTTGTGCAATGGCAGGGGGCGGGGGGGGGGGGGGGCTGCAGTAACAGATGTACTGTGTATTCTCATCCAGATACCATATCTGATGTACAGAGGTGTGTACACATGATTATGTGCATTGTTCAGAGAGACTTGGAATAAGACATACTTGTCAAAATCTGATCATCAATAATGCTACAGTACATGTTTCAGGATGAAAAGGAAGGCCAGATTGTGGATTGTGACAAAACTTCCCATATACAACCATACGTAACATTGTGACTTTGTCATGCATGGTACTTGTCACGAGAGCACGCGCACACATGTACACATGCACATGTTCGTGCATGGGGAGTATACAACACAGAGTGCTCTGTAAACCTTGCAGCTGCTGCCATGGTAAACTGGTATTGTTATCTAAAGCCTGGAGCTGTGCCAGTGTATACCCAAGGTCTTTGAACTGGGAACGAAATAAACTCTCGCCTCCATCTCCAACTTTGATCAGAACGCAGCAGCAAGAAAATATAGCATATAATGATATCTATAAAGGTGTCAGGATGTGAACATGTGTGTGTGTGTGTGTGTGAGTGTGTGTGTGTGCAAGCACATGCATGTGTGTGTGAGTGTGTCCTAGTGACATTGTAAATGTTCCCTTTTGCATGTGATACTAACAAATCTACAGCAGTATATGTCTGCGTGTGTATGACTGCTATAGTAAATAATGGAATTTGTAACAGTTACTGGGAATTTCGTGTGTGTGTGTATGTGTGTGTGTGTGTGTGTGTGTGTGGGTGCATGCACATGTGCTGATAAAGTCACCATTGTTTGATTGCAGTTCTCTTTGTTTGAATCATATCTCCTACATGTTTCTATGATTATATAAAATAATCCCATGAAATGCCATCATCATCAGAAAAAAAATTCATATCATTCAAAGCTTGATGACCTATGACCTTGTTGTCATATTTCATTATCTTCAAAGTGAAATTTAATGTTTTCATGCTGTTATATCCATTTTGTCATACACAATACTATCTGATGATTTCAACCACATGCTTTTTACTGGCACCCATGCAAAACTTAATGCTCTGTCAATGTTCACATCTACTAGTACTTCTACTAAATAAATATCTCTCTGTTCATCCATCATATAATATTTATATAATACTTTGTATAAATTGCCTTTCATGCTGCAACTAAATTTAGCACATGCTGAAGCTGTTAAAATTTTAATTCTACACAAAACATTCTGTAAAACATGTTTTAGAGAAACATTTGGAATCTATGATCTCAAAGCATATAAAAGAACAAGAAAATATTGGATAATGGAAAAAAACAGCATGGATAACTTTCAGAAAAAAATTTTGAAACATTCCAAATGATCATTTTATTTTTGGCTCAGACTATGAATTTAAATTCAGTATATCTTTTAGTGTTAACATATCTTCATTCCTCCAAAAAAATTAAAACTTACAGTATAAAATTTAAAAATTTTGTGTTCTCATGTATATATTCCCCAAGTTAGAGGACATAGAACTATCCAACACTTACCTACAGAGGCGAAGTTATCGAACCTTTTCTGTGTAACATCAAGCTGCTGTATGATCATCCAGCCAAGGACATGAGGGTTATTAAACATGGCGGCGTGGTGCGCTAGATAAAATCCCTGGTCGTCAGGTTTTGACAGCCGAGGGATGGGACAACGCCGGAGCAGACCGTGGAAGGCAGCCACCAACCCTCGTCTGGCAGCCTCCCGCAAACCAACCTGGGGAGTCTGGGTAATGGAAAAGTCGGAAATTGTAATAATATTGAAACTTTATTTTTTTTATTAAACTTATCAATTTCATCTTATTTAAACAAAAGTGTAATTATGTAACAGGAAATTCTGCAATTTATCTGCCACGACCGTAAAACTATATGACATATGAATTCCAAAATATCTATATTATTATAAATAGGCATGTGTATATATTGAAAACTTTATTTATTCCAACCAACAAAAAGTTGATTCAATCTCCTTGAGAATATCTACTCATGCAAGTACATAAACAAAGTTAAAGCTTAACTATCACCAACACATATTTTATCCCCTTTTATCTGCTTTAACACCTTGACCTACTTTTTTTGTTATTCATTTAATAAATATCTTATTTCTCTCTCTCACCTTACACTTCATTGCCTTTTTATAACCAAAATACTTCTTGAAGTACTCAAACACTTGGTGCTCAGACATAGGAGGACGCTTCATTTTCAAGTCACGGATTTTCTCCGACATCACGTTGACCCATTTCGGCTTCTGAGGCGGGACAGGGTGAAAGGTTTCAAAGTCCAGAGCAAAGACGTAGTATCTGTAAAAAAATGATAAAAAACAATGTAAAATATGTAATCTTTCTCAACATTGCTGTTCACAGTAATAGTAAGGGGGAGAGTGTAAATTATCATAGTCCACACACAGATGTGGTATCTGAATTAGAACTGAAAGATGATAACAATGAAAGCTTACACATATACATGTATCTTGCCCACTTGCATATCACTCACTTCATAAAAAAATGGGAGGAGAAATGTTGACAGAGAACTTATGCAACTTATGCATTGTCAAATTGCATCAAATAATTATCTGAAAAGTTCTCTCATATGAAGTAAACTGTGCTATTTCATAAGTAAGCATAATTTGAATGAATGAATAAAATGTGACCTTTTAAAAGTGACTTAATTTCAATGAATAACTGCCTAATGAAAAGCTAAAAATGTAACTTAAGATCATATAGGCAAAAAATATGACTTTATTAGAAATATACTAGTACCTTTTCCCATCAATCTCCTTAATAGGTATGGGATAGAAGTCTGTCACAGGAACATCTGGGTCGAGGATTTTGTTATTGTGAGCAATGGCGGCGTCCATGAGCGCCTGCGTCTCCTGCTGGATGGCTGATGGCAGCGGCTCTGGATTGGACGTCTCGTATGCAAACTGTATACCTGGTGATAACAGGATTTAGATGATGAAAAAAATGAAAAAATAAACTGAAAGATATTCAACATAATTAATAAACAAGGCAGCAAAGCTGTCAAATGTACAGACAAAAAACAGAAAAAAAAAGATGCAAAATAGGTCATTATGTCAATTTTGATGCAATAATAAATGCTGATAATAGCACAGTCAGTCAACACTGATTTTTTATCATGCACAACAGGTAACATGGTCAATAACAGGAGCAGATTCAGAGATATTTTCTGACAGTATTCCAAAGTATCTTTGTTGATCCATCCTCCATTTTGATAGTCTTCCAACAGAAACCCGTTAATATAAACTGTAAAATCTGACTGTCTTCCAGGAGACCCAGAAGATGGTCTTAATCCACCCTTTCAATAAGATTACAATGTCAGGACCATGAGAGTTAAAATTCACATGATGAAAGTCCCTATATATGAAAAATGATGACAGTGCATAAAATAATATTACATCGTGTTTAAAGACATAAATACCAATACAGCTGCTTATGTGGAAATACTGAAAATGTGCACAGCCTCAGGTGGATGGGAGTTAAAAATCACATCTTAAAAATGCCAGTGTTGGAGAAAAAATTAAATAGAAACAACAAAAATATAATTCTAATGAAGCTGTTATTCACTGCTTCCTTATTATGGACACTATGTTATCTAGCAGAGAGCTTAACAGGGAAATATCAACAAGTGTGCTTTATGAAATTTCAATTAATGGCTACTTAATTAGGTAAATGAGTTTATAGCACTGAAATTAGCCTTGTGAATACCCAAGGGGAATTAACAGACTGACCACACAAATTTGTCTATCAAAGGTCTTCAGGCCCATAAGTCACACCTTAAGAAAAGCAGAAAACAATAATGCACAAAAACAGGAGACTGCCCAATTCTGATGCAATAATACATTATGTTTAACTGCACAGTCAACATAAAATTTTAATTATGCACAACAGGTAACGCTGATGAAAGTAAAAGCATAAGGCTCCAGGCCCATCAGAGTTCAAGTTTTCAATTAGAAAGTGCCAGAATGAGAAAAATGAAAATTTCACAAAAAATGCATAAATTTAATAAAAATGATGACCCAATTGACCTGGCTTTCTAATTTGAACTGCATGCCAATCCTAAAAATCGTACTTATAAGTTAAATATAATAATAAGTAACACAGTTTTCTTTTCATAATGTTTGCAGTAGCAGTGCAAAAAGATTATTGTCAATTTTGATGTAACATTACATAATAAATTATAGAATAATTATCACCAATTTTTGATTATTGACTATAAATAGCATGGACATGTAGAAAATTTGATTACCATTAGGCTTCATGTCCATGGGAGCTCTGAGTCCCACAATGAATATGCCAAAAAGATAATGAATATTTCACTAAGTGTATAACTTCCAGAAAAAGAAGCCAATTAGACTGCTTTTCCAACTCGGGCTGCATTTTAGTCCTGTGTTTCTTTTTTGAAAGTTTGACAGTAATAAGTAACACCGTTTTCCCATAATGGTCATCATGGCAGCAGCACCAAATATTGTGTTTTCTTCTATTTTGATGCAACATTACATAATGCTTAACAGCATAATGACCATCAATTTTAAATGATAAAATATACGTGTCATGGATTTTCAGAAAATGTGACTAGCAAGGGTCTTCAAGCCCGTGGAGGTTCTAAGTCGCACCTTGAAAATGTCAATAAGTGAAAAATTAAATTTTCACAAAAAACTGTTAAATTGCCAGAAAAATTTACCAAACAGACTGCATTGCCTACTGAGGCTGTATGTTAGACCCATGTTTCTTTCTTGTAAGTTTGAGAACAGCAAGTGACATGTTTTCCCTTAAATGGTCATCATAGGAGCAGTGCCCTAAATAGGGGTTTCTTCAAATTTTGATGCAACGTTACATAATGTTTAACAGCATAATAACCATCAAATGTTATTAATAAAATATTAGTAACATGGACATTCAGAAAACATGACAAGCAAAGGTCTTCAGGCCCATGGAACTTCAAAGTCACATCTTGAAAATGCCAAAATGTAAACAAGACAGCACTGTCCTGAAATGGGTTTATTTCCATTTTTAACACTTTTTTAACATAAAACAAAATAAACATTTTACTGCCATTTTTATATGACCAACTAAGAAAATTGATGAGATGGGAAAAGTATCAATAGAACAGTGTTAAATGTCCAATTTCCTCCATTCTGAGATTCTGAACATAGTGGATGATTGAATCTGACAAACTGCAATGATATGAGTTTATTTCCATTTTTGACACTTTATTACACAATACATGATAACAAGTTTACCATGTTTTTTTACATAATCAACTAACAATGTTGTAAAGATGCAGGAAATATCAAACAAACACTTTTACGCATCTAATTAGTTCAATAATGAGACTGTTAACATGCCTAATAATTGAATCTGAGGAAATGTGAAAAAACAGTATAACTTCTAAAATAATGGCCCGATTATGCTGATTTTCGAACTCAACCTGCGTTTTAGTAAGATTGACCACTCCTGTGAGTATAATGCCAATTGGCCAATCCGTTTTTCTTATATTGTGTTATCAGTGTTGCATTTATATTGAAAAGTGAAAAAACAGCATAAATTCCCTAAAAATGGCCCAATCATGCCGATTTTCGAACTTGACCTGCATATTATGAATATTCATCAGTTCTGTAAGTTTCAAGTCAAAAGGTACAATGGTTTTCCACTTATCGTGTTATCGGTGCTGCATATATGTTGAAAGAAGTGAAAAAAACAGCATAAATTCCCTAAGAGTGACCCGATCATGCTGATTTTCGAACTTGACCTGCGTATTATGAATATTCATCAGTTCTGCAAGTTTCAAATCAAAAGGCAAAATGGTTTTCCACTTATCGTGTTATCGGTAAAAGTGCACGGCGACGGCGACGACAGCGACGACGGCGACGACAGACGCAGATGATGGCTATATGTACAGACACATCTGTGTCTGTACATAAAAAGAAAAAAAAAACATAACAATCGCACTGCACCAAGGACAGGACGACTTAAGTTTTAGAACTATAAGAAATTCAGTTTAAGACTTTCAAGCAGCTATGATGAAATGAATTCAATAAAAAAAAATAATTAAAATAAATAAAGAGTTTGTTTCATAGCTTACCTCCATGAAGGTGGAAATACTGATTATGAAAACCAAAGTTCTTGCACTTGTAGTCATTAGTAAGTATAAGAGGGGGGAGTTCTCTCTCAGTCCTAACCTCATCACCTGAGAGGAAAAAAACAGAAAAACAATTACCATCAATTGTCTACCTTCGCCATTTATTTTGACTGTTCTTGTACATTTCTTGTATTTTTTTTAATTTATTTATTATTATTATTATTATTTTATTTTATTTTTTTTTGTACAGATGTCATTCTCAGACTTATTTTTAATATTCTATACATTTGATTTACTCTAACAGACCTTTTACTTAACATTATGATGTATTTTTTTTGTAGTTTTAATATATACATAGTTGAGGCCTACTGGTCTGAGCAACTAGAAGACTGACACATTTAAAACTGTTTATTTCTTACAGTAATTATTCAATTGATTTGATCAATATGAATTAATTTCTATCATAAAAAAGTTTTGTAAATGTTATTCAAACATGTTTATGCAAAAGTTTTTTAAGTTAGCTGACATAATGTTAGAAAGTGCAAAGTTAGGAGTATCAGAAAACCATAAGTCTTGCACCCCATTTCCAGAGATTAGATCGATCTACTTTAGATCGACCTAACTCCCTGGGAGTTCACGCTAAATAGCTGTCAGCCGACCGGACACGAAAGTTAATTACCCCCTTACAGCTTGTAGTAGGGGGGGCGGACATTTAAGCCGGATTATCTGACAGTAATATAGTGAGACTCCCCGCGGGGATAGATCGATCTAAAAGCTCTGGGAATACAGTCTTGGAGAAGTAATTCCGTTACCTGTCATGTTGGGCAGTAGTCGGGTCAGGTCAGGAATCTTCATCCTTTTCCGCATTGCACACAAAAATGGCACCATGAAGCTGATAAACTTGAGCAACTTGAGCTGACGCTTAATCTCAATTTTATTCCCCAGGGACTGCTTTATCACGATCTGCTGGTTCCGCAGCCGCGATTTAAGACGCATGTAGCCATCGTGGTCCAGCACGTCTTCCGCCAACTTAATCACACTGCTGACGGACCAGTCTGCCTCGATGAGGAAAGTGCAGCGGTCCTGATAGACCTTGTTCTGATAGCCAGTCATCTGCATCAGGATATCGTCTACATGACTCATGAAGAAACGTTTGTCCTCCATGACAGTGACGTTATTTTGGTCTTCCTCTGGCATGTCTTCGTAGGCCTTGGAGTAGTCGGGATCTTTAGTGATGTCCAACATGCCTGCGAAAGTAGAGACAGAAAACATGATCCAAGCATGATTAACAGTGGATGTTAAATATCCATGCCATTTTCTTTCACATTTTGTTAATTTTCACAGCATCAAAATTAATCTTAACGGTTTAAAAATAAGAACACAATATATATGTAAAACATTGTTTCTATATTATGGCATGTAAGGCAAAATATCCCATGAAACTTTTCACATTATGACATGAATATATATAGGGGCTTGTATGTTCATGAGCATGTATCAGTGCCAGTACCTCTGCACACATGCCATACTAGATACAAGAGGACAATTTGACCTATCACAATAATGTGAACATCAATATAACTATAATGACACCACTGATTTATTTTATAGAGAAATTGTATTACTAGTTCCTTCATAAAAAAAAATGAATAAAAAAAAATAATAATAAGAGAATTATTTGCAATTGTGGACTTAAAATAAGCCAGTACTAGTACTTTAGTCTAGGTCCAAATGCTGTATATGACTAACAAAATTTGGACCAACTGCTAGGTAAATTGATCTTAGTTTCTACAATAATCTTAATCTTATTAAGCAGCTTACTTGCAAACCTGAAACCCTTCTTGGCTGCAAGAGGTCTTGTTGCTAGGCAACATGTAAATACAACATAATCCTAGACCATGTTTACTATTGTTTAGTTTTAATTACTGTGACAATATTAACACAAGGTTGTCCAAGTCTATGTAACCCTTAATTATTAAAAATACTCACTGAATCCTTACTAGATGTTTGTTTCATTATCACAAACTTGAAACAAAAATTAAGACATTCAAGTCTGATCTTATTAATTAAATATTATATTTTTTTTCAATTCAATCATTTTCTATTTTTATTTATTCATTTATTTGGTCTTAACTTTTCACCTACTAGTAATCCTTTCTGATTCTACGTTATAAACCATTTCTCAGTGCCTGTAAACAACTGCTTTAATTTTCATCTTAAAAATGTAAAACTGCTTGTCAGTGAGTATGTTTCACAAAGAGATTAATTACTAGTAGAGAAAGGAAATATTGTGGCTTTATGTTTCATGAAAGTCATGGTCAAAGTCAAATAGCTCATGTAGGTTCATTATTAAAAGGTTCAGTGATGTCAACATGTAAAATCCATCACAAAGATGCCAAAAATTTAATTAACTTTTTATAAATTATTAATCTGGCAATGATTAAGATCAATCAAAATCTCAGTTAACTCTATGTTAATATACGGGGTATGCACAAAGTCCAGACACACATGGTCTTTTTAATAAACTAAACTGGTGAACTTTTTTATGTCTTCATTTATTTAATGAAATCAAACTTTGCATCACAAATGACGAAAATCACACTGGGGATGAAATTTCTGAACATTTTGCTTCATACTTTTTAAATGAACTTATGCATTTTGCCTAGAGTCCAGATTTAAATGTGTTGCTAAAATTATTAGTAATATTTACTTGTTTGTTTACTAGGGCTGCTATGGATTGATGTAGAACTGAAGTAGATTCAAAATCTGGTCCAAAAATTTGAACCAATTTTCAGGATACAGTTATTTTGTAAAATGGCCCCTGGCATCTGAATGGACCATTAGCCTAAACAGTTAAATAGGTGGACTGCTGTATTATTCATATTCAATTAGGAGTTTTAAATCAAACAGAACAGGTGTCACTGTGCCAGTGGACCTTTCCTCATAAAAATTCATTGGTTGCCGCTTATAATGATCTTAATAAAGAAGGAAAATGACTTGTGCAAACATTAAGATGTGATATATTCCTTATGTCAACACATAAAGTTTTGTGTAAACAAACACTGCTTTGCAACTGAAAGTTAAAACTGCATTAAGTCAAAGGGCAGATTTTACCCTCGCAGATTTCTGTTAAAGCTTTGCGCAAGTTTAATTCAACATGCAAACACATTTTAGGGGTTTAAGCATCATTTACTGTAAAACACTTCACAGAAAATCCCTTAGGTTTAACAATATCAGTTGGGCATTAAAATGTTCATAACTGAAGGGGCTTTCTGGTTATGCAGAAGTCACTGACTAGTCTAGATATATATTTATGTACCAACTAGTACTCTAGTAAAATTGTGCACGTGCAGCATCATAAAAATGTTTCAAATGCCCACTTATTGACTAGTATTTTTTTAATTGAATACTTTTAATTAATTAACTTTTCTGAAAAATGTGACTTCCATATATAGCCAGCAAAGTTTCAAAACTAATGAAGCGACACATTTTTAGTTATTCAATTTTCAAGAATATTCAAGAATAGAGTTTTCTTTACCTGCACTGGTGAACTCTGTAATAAACGGCTTCTTCGTTTCAGGTTTCCCTTGCGAATTCACATCCAAACTTTTTCTCCACTTCTCAGAAAACTTTGTCCTTTTCTCCTTGGGGAAGTAGACTCCGTGCCATAGCGCCTTCATCATGTAGTCAATATTAATCAGCACCTGTCCGAGACGGGTGTCCACGTAAGCCTGCGGCAGCTGACACGAAGTGCTCTGGTCGAAATTTGCTTCCAGAGAAATGGACGGCAGTTGACCAAACACATACATGCCAATGGTCATTTCACGGATAATTTGGTGAAGTTCCCGGAAATCCAACGGGTCGCAGCCCTCCATGTCATCCTCAGGGAGGAGGAACAAGCACTGGTTTTCGTTCTGGCCCAGGGGGACCATCTTCTTGACCAAACCCAGGGGCATTTCTACGCTGACCTTCAGGTCTTCGCTGGACAGGAACCAGTGCGAGTGCGTGCATGCTATCAGCTCGTACGTGTCGTAGGTGTCATATTTCTCAAAGAAACTTGCTGTGTATTTATTTGTTTGCATCGCAGCTGCAATGGCGTCACCAGCCACCAAATCATCAAGGCTGGTCATCTTCTGGATGTGGAAAGATCTACAAAATAAAAAACACAAATCAATGAATAAAGTACAGGCTATTTTTAATGCAATGATGCAATGGACACACATGCATATTTAGTATGCCACTAGTTTATAGAGGCCATGATTCACTGATTAACAAACCTTAAATGCAACTACAGGAACATACCCACTGTACTATATAAATTAAATACAGTACCTATCAGAAAAAACTTGGTTTGTCAAAGTACATGATTCAATTACAACCCTGCACTGCATAAATGCTGATAGAGGTTATCGTATTGTCCCAAATTTAAATGCGTTTATTTCCATTATTTTTAAATATAAAGTTATCTAACTACTAGTAATCAACGTCAATCTGAAGAAATAGTACCACAGATCTTTAGTTAAAACATCCCTCACTTTATGTCCCACAAAGACTGCATCAATTGTTTGCAATGATAAAAGAAAGCTAGAAATTAAAACAGCGGCACGACAAAACCGGTTCACGAAAGTCATGTGCATGCCTAGTACCGCACGGCAAGACATAGCCATTTTCTGCTGCAGCACTCCGTCTCAAACACATGCAGCAATTTAGCATGTGCTCCACTCGAAAATCTTTTACACCATCGCCAACTTACCTAATACAGCTTGGGTCAGTACAGTGGATGTGTCTGTAAGCTAAGAGTGAGCATACACTCACGCTTGGTTTGATTTAGAGCCATTTGGACCTCATTTTTTACGGAAAATTCTCAACTTGACAGCCTAGTAACCGACATTATTTACATGTTCCTTGGGCATTGACATTTACAGGTAAAATGTAAGCAGGATTATGATTGGCCAATTTTTCCTTGACTTTCGTCTGCGAATTTTTGATTGGCTCTAAACCTTTTAACTAGAGCGTTATCAAAACGAGACTGTGTCAACAGTGTCAAGGTCACGTCAACAGGTGGTTGGTGTTCACACGCCGGCTCTGCTATCGTGGTGTTGTGATCGTGCATTTTCCTACCTTCACCCGGTGTGCTCTCCCTGCGCGGAGAGCGCGCAATTACGGTAAGTACTGCGCACACCAGGTGAAAGGCCCAACTTCCCTGCCTGATCCCGGTGAGTACAACTCAACCACAGCTACTGTGCAGACGTGTACGGTACAGCCGCAAAAATAATCAGAATTGAGACACAATACACAGTGATCTACAATCTCACTCCGTAAGTAGAACCAGTGAATACTTTATTGGCGACAAGGCATTCGTAACTTGTAATTTTGCGGGCCTAAAGCTTAGTTTTCGCTGCGATCTAGCTGAAAGTGGATTACGCGGGAAATTCCTTTGTCTAACATCCTTTTGTATCATTGGGTGGAGCGGCGGTCAAAATTGTAATTTCAATTTTGGATCATAAAGGTTACCGCTTTAGGAGACACTGGTATTTGTTGCGTATCTACTGTATTTTCAGTGCTTACGTGTGTGAATTGTGATATAAAGGAGACGTTGGTCTCATTCCCCTGTGTGTTGTTATCAAAGCTGAATTTTCCCCAAGACTGAGGTGCACACGTAATATTTTAGTTTCTTTGTTTATTGTTTATTGTTTATTTAGTTTATTTGAAAGAATAAAATATTGACTTCAGTGTTTTTGTTGATTATTCCTCTGTATTTTAGATTGGATTCTGAACAGAATTTCTGTCTAAATTCAACTTATTGCGTTGTGTGCCGAAGTCTTCCTTCCCCGAATTTGAATTAACTGTACGTTTTTGGATTCTATTTATAGTGATTTTCGCTATAAGCTTGGTAGTGTATTGTGCTTTGATAGGTGAGATTATTTTGAATCAATTTAATTCTCGCTTACAAATGTACAATGGCGAGTGCATCAAGGTTGCCAATCGATCGTGAGACTTCCGATGAGCTCGTTACACTGCCAGGTATAGGTCCTAAGCGTGCAGAAAGGATATATGCTAGAGAACATGGGATCCCGCTGACCAGATCCAACGTTTTTGAGATTTGTGGATCAAATATTGGATCAAATGTAAGCAAAAATCTCTGTTTTGAAAGTACTCACCGAAGTGAAATAGGATCTGAAGTCAAGATGGGTGACCTAGACCCTAGCGTATTATCCACTGAAAAAAGTCATAAAACAACTTCTAAAGTGACTTCCTACATTCAACATGAAGGAAGGGCGGCTGCTGAGAGATATAGGGCGGAATTTGAAAAAATTCTCAAACTGGGTGAGAAAATTCAACACAAAGAACAAATTTCTCGCAGTAAAAATATAAAAAACGCTGCTAATTTTTCACCATCAACATATTCTAAATTAAAATCTTGTTCAAAGTCACATTTTCACTCAGCTATTGACCCAAAATCTTTCACATCGCAGCCAGCCACTTTAGCCTCTGAATACGACATTTTTGCTCTGCCTATTGAGAGGCTGCATGCCAATAACAAAGATAAAAAAGTAATATCTTCTGTGCATGCAAAGTCTCTAGGCCGCGTCATGAACCCTGATACTGTTACTTCCTTTCCGAATGGTAAGGACAGTAGTCGGCACTTTGCTCCGTCTGTCCATAAGGGTGATGTGAATTGTGATCTGTATCAGTTTCATGTTCCTAAACCCGGACGGCGGCAACGACATGTTGAGCAAAATTTTGCCGATACAGTTCCACAAAATCATGATTACCGGTCTAGTTCAATAGGAAAACATTGTACGCGACCTAGAATCTCGTCTCCCGTTTTCTGTGACGAACCACTAATTTATGAAAGGGATAACAGTGAAAAAGAATACTTTCGGCTGNATTGCGTTGTGTGCCGAAGTCTTCCTTCCACGAATTTGAATTAACTGTACGTTTTTGGATTCTATTTATAGTGAATTTCGCTATAAGCTTGGTAGTGTATTGTGCTTTGATAGGTGAAATTATTTTGAATCAATTTAGTTCTCGCTTACAAATGTACAATGGCAAGTGCATCGTGGTTGCCAATCAATCGTGCGACTTACGATGAGCTCGTTACGCTGCCGGGTATAGGTCCTGAACGTGCAGAAAGGATAATATATGCTAGAGAGCATGGGATCCCCGTGACCAGATCCAACATTTTGGAAATTTGTGGATCCAATACTGGATCAAATAAAATCAAAAATCTCTCTTTTAAAGGTACTCACAGCATTAAATTAGGATCTGAAGTCAGCATGGGTGACCTAGACCCTAGCGTATTATCCACTGAAAAAAGTCGTAACACAACTTCTAAAGTGACTTCCTACATTCAGCATGAAGGAAGAGCGGCTGCTGAGAGATATAGGGTGGAATTTGAAAAAATTCTCAAACTGGGTGAAAAAATTCAACACCAAGAACAAATTTCTCGCAGTAAAAATGTAAAAAACGCTGCTAATTATTCACCATCAACATATTCTAAATTAAAATATTGTTCAAAATCTCATTTTCACTCAGCTATTGACCCAAAATCTTTCACATCGCAGCCAGCCACTTTAGCCTCTGAATACGACATTTTTGCTCTGCCTATTGAGAGGCTGCGTGCCAATAACAAAGATAAAAAAGTAACATCTTCTGTGCATGCAAAGTCTCCAGGCCGCGTCATGAACCCTGATACTGTTACTTCCTTGCCGAATGGTAAGGACAGTAGTCGGCACTTTGCTCCGTCTGTCCATAAGGGTGATGTGAATTGTGATCTGTATCAGTTTCATGTTCCTAAACCCAGACGGCGGCAACGACATGTTGAGCAAAATTTTGCCGATACAGTTCCACAAAATCATGATAACCGGTCTAGTTCAATAGGAAAACATTATACGCGACCTAGAATCTTGTCTCCCGTTTTCTGTGACGAACCACTAATTTATGAAAGGGATAACAGTGAAAAAGAATACTTTCGGCTACCCAAACCAGAAAAAGTAGGTCCAAAAAGTAAAAAGGACAGAGTAGACCCCAGTGATTTACCTAAACAATTATCGTTTGACGGAAACAGTGACGACTGGGAGTCTTTCAGAAAAAGATATGAAAGTTATCGCCAGATAAAAGAGTGGTCAGAAAACGAGTGTCTGGACTACCTTCTGTGGTGTCTTGAAGGCGAGGCTTTGGCCCTGTATAATAGCCATCTCAGAGCAAATAAAAATGTGTCGTACACATCTATAATGAAAGAAATGGACTTAGTGTTCGGGATTAAAAAACATCCCGATTCGGCTCGCCTGGCATTTCTTACTGCCGTTCAATCGCAAAACGAAACGTTAAACCAATGGCTGTGCCGCGTTTTGTTATTGGTCAGAGATGCTTATCCTGATAAATCGGAGTCTTTTAGGACAAAAGAAACAATATCAAAATTTTGTCAAGACTGTATTGATCAGGATGCTGGGCGTTATACTAGTTTAAAGCATCCAGCAAGCATCAGCGACGCAATAACACATATGGTGGACTATCAACATGTTTGTAAACCCACGAATAGTCAAAAAGAAACAAGAAAAATTCGTGAAAAAATTCAAATATGTTCTCTTGATCTTACAGCTAGAGAAAATCAACAATCTCCATCTGAAAATGTTGAAAAACTAGTTGAGTCCATCATAGAGAAACGTGTCAGCCAGCAGCCAAAATTGAGCACAATTCAATTTAATTCAAGGGCTGACTTGGAAAAAACGGTTGAACATTTGGTCAGGAAGTCCACACCTAAAACATCAAGTGTGTGTTTCTTCTGTAAAAGAAAAGACCATTTTAAAAGAAATTGCCAGAAATATAAAGAGTTCTTAAAACGAAAAAATACTAAAAAAGAACTCGAAAAACAAGAGCGAGCTGATAACGCCGAGTCATTTAAACTTAAGGTTCGAGCATCGAGTACATGTTCAAATACACCGTCTCAAATGCATGGCACAGAAATACCTCACCTAATAGAACAATCATTGCAGCAAAATCAACGTAGGGCGTCGAGTGGGAGACTGGTCCCAGTAAAGATCAAAATCCTGGGCTTTCAGGCAATTTTTCGTCCATTAAGTGGTCTCGGGTGTAGATCAGTGGAAAAGTGGACGTGGGCGCGCACATTTCTGTAATGTCAGGGAGAGTGCATTGCGCGCATTTAAGGTTAGTCATCAGTTTTAAGTTGCCTAGACTTACTCTTGCTGCAGGGAATTGGAAATTTAGAAATACAGGTTTGCGACCAAATTTAGTGGTGAGATTAACTCTTGTACATGTAGCACCAATGACTGTTGAAAATTGATTACATTTCATCAGTGCAATTTGGGTTTTCTGGAAATTGACGGAAAAAAAAAATGATATAAAAAGAAAACAGATTCACAGATAAAACAGCACCAGTAAGTGTAGCGAAAAGAAAAGGACAGTGGTATCCCCAAAATCGGAACATGATTCCATGCAAAATCAATAAACAGACTGAAAGATAGTTATGGAAAGAAATAAAGAGTAAAAAGGGGTCACTGATTCAGAGAATGGTGCTGTCCGAAAATTCCGATCAATAAAGAAAACTTCGTGTGGTTAAGTCATGTGGTAGCTACAGTAGCAAATGACATTTTGGAAACCTCTAAATTGGATGGGTATTAGCTTAGGGGGGTGGATTATAAAGTTAAAAAAGAAAAAAATCTGTGCCTGCATTATCAGTTACAAAGCTGATGAGACAACATGTACCGATGTACCGGTGGGAACACCTGAAATTATTCGTAAAATCAGCTGTTTCTAGAACCGGTATCGAATCTTAAAATACGCTTGTGGGATAAAACATACTAGTGGAGGTTTTCATTCACCCTCCTATAACTGGTAACATCCCTATAACAAGTGTACACCCGAACCAAGACCTAACTTGTGGGATTAAATTCTGCAGGGGTTTCAAGTGTTAATTCCCCTAATTTCGAGAATATCCCTAGAGCAAGTAACCGATTGAAAAGGACTAAATGTCACAGACTCTGAAGGTGGGTGGAAGCACTAAGGGCCCTTCAAGTGCCCCATTCACTGGAAGACGTTTGTAAAACTAAAAAATTAACACAAAACTACCGGTAGTATAACATCTTTCAAGACTCCAAACATCGGGAGTCCAAATTTAAATAAAACCGCTGGTGACGTTCACATCGGGCTAGACTCTTCGGGTTGCGTGTCACTAGTAAAACAGGTTATCCCTGGACATCTGGAAGTGATGTTTAAAGTATCTAAAGGGAATAGTACTAGTGCAGAATCAAATTTAGAAGGGGTGTTTTCTAAATTGAAATATGTTTTTACTAGAGACAATTTTGATCTTGGTCGGTCTTAAGTCACTCAACGTGGAAATGAAGCCGAGAATGCCGAATCCCTTAAATCGCGTATGCGATGGATGCTTGCGTGTGTCATGCAGAAAGCATAGGGGGCATTGTTAACGGAATGTTAACAACCGGATTCATGCAAGGCTGACAAGAGTCTCAGTCTGTGTGGACATTAGCACTGGTGTTAAATAAGAAAACGTGACGTCACGGTAAAAAATTTCCAATAGGGAAAATTAAAAATATTGCTAGCAATATCCTTAAAGAATTAGACTATCACTTTGTGATGTAGTTTATTTTTGTGTTTAAGAAAAATGGCTACAGTCTATTAAGATCAATTAATGGACTATAACTGTTATGTAGCTTATTTCTGTTTTAACACATGACTACAGTCCATATGACTATCACTCTGTGATGTAGTTTATTTTGTGTTAATAAATTGCTACAGTCTATTGTGATCAATGGACTATAACTGTTATGTAGCTTTATTTTGTGTTAACACGTGACTACAGTCTAATTTGATGAAATTTTTGAAAAACCGGGATCTTATTTTTGCATTCCATTTTTCTTTTCATTTATTTATGAGAATTTTTGGAACGGACTATCACTATATTTTTGGTGATGTGACGGGCTGGTGAATGAACAGCCTATCACAGTCTGTTCTACTGTTTATTTATTTTTTGTATTTTTTTCGGCGGACTATCACCTCGGTGATGTTGTTAGCACTAACAGCTAATGACAGTTTGTACGAATATTTCAACTGGAATCCACTTTATTTTATTTATCGAAAGGAATTTTGAGTTTGTACATGGACAAACATGTATTTATAAGTAGCTCCTTTCAAATAAAAGTGGGGGGAATGTTGTGATCGTGCATTTTCCTACCTTCACCCGGTGTGCTCTCCCTGCGCGGAGAGCGCGCAATTACGGTAAGTACTGCGCACACCAGGTGAAAGGCCCAACTTCCCTGCCTGATCCCGGTGAGTACAACTCAACCACAGCTACTGTGCAGACGTGTACGGTACAGCCGCAAAAATAATCAGAATTGAGACACAATACACAGTGATCTACAATCTCACTCCGTAAGTAGAACCAGTGAATACTTTAGTGGTAATAAATATGAGATAACAGAAAATTCAAGACCATTTAAAGCAGGAGAAGTGTCTTTTAAACAAGATAACTAGAAGGTACCTACCTTTTCAGTAATCAAGAGTGACGTAATTCTCAGGCTGTCGATCCCTACATATACGTACGGTACTGTGTGGCGTACACGTACGCCTTAGTCTAAATCAGTAGTGGAACTCGTGCACTCATAAGCCAGTTTCAGGTTCTCGACGCCATCGGTCTCGCGGAATGCGTGAATGCGCGAGACTTCAATGTTTGGGTAATAAATGACAGATCCGCGCGAAGAACATGAACGAAGACAGCCACTTTGATTCAAGTGTAAATCTTATATGTAAGTATAATGTAAGATATCTACACATCGATTAAATGAATTAGTGCAGTTTGTGACATATTTTATCAGTAAAATAGTGCTCATGAATTCTTATCGCGCCCATTTTCAAGCCATGTGATGTTTCATTCACTGCTCATTGCCTGTCTTAATATGATGAACTTCATGAAGTTTTATTGTTGCATATTCACCTAGTAAACGTCAGTTTGGTTTTATTTTTAGTTTATAATGCCAACTTGCAGCTGTGCCGTTGTTGGTTGCTTCAACCACACGGAAAAGCTGAGAAAATGGAGAGTGCAAATGTGCATTCAGCATGGGCAACTGCACAAATATTGTCCGTGTGAAGAGCCTTTTAAGCTTTTCACTTTCCCCACCACTGGAAAAAACGAAGCACTGAGAGACAGATGGGTGCAGGCAGTGAATAGGCTGGATATTAAAACAGGTAAGAATTAATATATATGATCCAACATTTACAGTTTTAATTGCCATTCAGTTAAGCTGATAGTTTGCATTGGGTGTTATTTTTTAAATGATTCTGATAAAGACATATTACTCATTTTATTTAATAATTATAACCACACAATTTTAGGGCAAAGGTGGACTCCCACTTATTACGACAGGGTCTGCTCCCTACATTTTGAAGAGGGTGGAACAATACCAACTCTTGATTTAGGCCATAATTTCCCCCCAAAGAGTAAGACCCCAAGAAGAAAGCTGCCAGTCAGACCGTTTCTCCCCCTGAAGAAGAAAAAATATGCAGCACCGACATCAACCCATAGGGTCCAGGAAGAAGAGGCACCCACTGCACACAGTCCTCCCCAGCCATCAACTTCGGATGCAGGCATGGAACCTCCCCAACCTGAGCCAGAGACCCCTGAACCAGTATCCTCCCCTCTAAGTCCCCCAAATCCAACCCCTGATCACAACTGCTGCCCCACAATAGATGAGCATAGTTATTCCTCACTTTGTGACAACCCCCATTGCCAAAAAAATGTCCTGATCATAAATATGTTGAAGAAAAAAATTTCAGAATTAGAAACAAAATTAGAAAATTATGAAAGAGAGAATGAAAGTTTGAAGAAAAAGTCAGAAAAACCGATGTGGGAAACCCTGCTTACTTCTGATGCCAAAGTAAAATTTTATACTGGATTGCCAACTTTAAGTTTATTTAACAATCTTTTTGAATACATCCATCCAAAAATTAAACATTTGTCCATATGGAAAGTTAATACAAAACCACCAGCAGTCCCCAAAGGTTTAGTCAAGCCTGACAAGTTTGGAATTTCACCCAAAAAAAAGGGCCCCAAAAGAAAAGTTCAATTAAAAGACGAGTTTTTGTTAGTTTTAATGAAATTACGACTTGCCCTCCTTTCCCAAGATTTGGCAGACCGTTTTAAAATTAGTCCCTCAGTGTGTTCTAAAACCCTCAATGTTTGGATTAAATTGCTATCTTTTTGTTTGAAACCATTCATTTTTTACCCTCCTAAAGAATTCATTCATTCCAACCTCCCACAAATTTTTTATCCAAAATACAAAAATCTCCGTTGTATCATAGATTGTACAGAAATTTTCCTTGACCGCCCGCGAGACCTTCTTCTTCAAGCACTTACATGGTCTGACTACAAAAAACACAATACGGCAAAATTTCTTGTTGGGATAACTCCAAATGGAAGCATATCCTTCTTATCAAAGGCTTGGGGAGGAAGAGCCTCCGATGTTCATATTGTTAAGAACAGTGGATTTTTGGACCTCATTGATCCCAGGGACATCATAATGGCAGACAAAGGGTTTACCATTCGGGAGGAATTACTCATCAGGCAGGCAGATCTAGCCATTCCCCCAGGAGCCAGAGGAAAAGAGCAGATGGATGCAGCAGACTTGCAGAAAAACAAGGAGATTGCAAACCTGCGCATCCATGTGGAGAGGGGGATTGGCAGGCTGAAAGAGTTTCACATTATAAAGAATACACTGCCAATATCTTTAGTGCCTCTGCTTGATGATATTGTCATCATCTGTGCAGCCCTTTGCAATTTCATGCCCCCACTGGTAAAGTAGACCCAAGATATCTCCATTTTAAGTGGATCTTTTTAAGCGAAATAAAGAATAATTTACTGTATTGTTTGTGCCAAAGACTCATTGCAAGTTTTTATTGTATTCAGTGCCATATTTGAATCCTCACTATTTTTGTTTATGCTCAATATATGTTTATTATGCTCAATATTTGTAATATTTTTTCACATTTTTGTTAAGTGCAATTTAACAATGCTCAGTATTTGAAACAAAAATCATTACAAATTACAACTTATGTATTCCTTGTTGTATTTGAAACCTCACTTGTTCTGTTTATGCTTGACATATATTTACTATAATCAGTATTTGCGCTCTTGATACTTGTGCCAAAGTGAATGTTATTACAACCCCACATAAAATTCAATGCAGTATTTCTGCTAAACATGTATTTTAACACTGGGAAAATCAAATTGAATCTGTGCCAAATAGGTGTTCATTGCATTTTGTCATAATAATACTTATTTATCTAATGTTGATAACACTAATGAACTGCATATCTGGTTAATTTTATAGCAACTTTCTATTTACTTTTTTATTTTCACAATAGGTTGCATTGTATATACTCTTGTTAATAATGCACCTGCTCTATGTACAGTATATATCATTTTCCACATTTTTGTTCAATATATTTGATATTGAGTAGGACATTTACATCATAGTATTTTCATTATTGCAACAAAATTTGAGAAAAAGTCAACATTTATGTTCAATAAAGACAAGTTTTAAGCATAAAAGTGCAATTATTTCATCTGTGAACAAATTGGACAAAACCACAGGACATCCTCATCATTTGCTTCTTCAGAGTCCTTGTCAATTCCAACACAAGTCCAGTGAAACCACTTATCACACATTGAACACAATATGCTATATGCTTCTTCATCTTCAGCATTTTCTATACATTTACTCTTGCAAATTCTACATATGTACACTGGGGTTTTTCTGGTTTTTGTTTTCACAGACTTCTTTGCTTTTACTTTTGTACTGGTAGAAACTACTGCCCTGTCATGATTGTTGGATTCGATTCTGCTTTTCAAAATGCGCCTAGATATCAACTCTGGTGCAAAGTATAAAAAATAAAAATTCCGAAGATTCTGGAGAATTGAAACCCACTGAGCCTTTACTTCATCCCATCTAATTCTCTGATAAAAAAACCAAACTTTGAATAAACAAAAAAATCACAATACTGACAATCTGTTATTGCCATCTGACCAATAATCTGTGTTAGGTACTTGTGATTTTCTTTCAATATGTCTCTATCACCACATCTAACTAAATAGTCTAAACTATCTGAATTGGGGACTGTGTGTGCTGCAGAGATTGGGCATTTAATTTCTACAGTCCCCTTGCCACAGCAAGCATCATCAATAATGCGGTCAGGAGAGGCCCTTAAAAAACTAAAATTTGCACTTGTAAAGAGACCACATTCTGTAACCTTCAAGTCCCTGTGCCCTTCACTATGCATCATCTTCTCAAATTCTGTGGCAGCAACAGGTTCCATGTCACGTCCATACTTTAATGCAGGTAAATCAGAAGGGGGGCTGACATAAAGTAATCTACTTATGAGGGGGTTAAAATCGACCTCTGTCTTTTTGGATGACTCCATTTTTGTGTGAATATCATGAAAACATGAAGCTGTCAAGGAGCCTTCCCTCTGCTCAAACCAGACTGAATTTCTTGCTTGACCTCTTGTTGCCTTTTCTATATCTGAAAATAAAATAACACTCACATGTTAGCAAGCATTTGATATGAAAATAGAAATTGCATAACAAATATTAACCTATACTAAAAACTGCATAATTTTGTCTATTTAGTCTAATTAATTGAAGAATAGGTGTGTTACCTTTTATTTCATCCTTGTCGTAACTGGGGAGATTTTCAATGAAGTCTTCCTCTGTGCTGTACTTTTTGGCAACAACAGCCAATGGTGGGGGTAGACTTTGGTTAGTTTCAGGCAAAAAGTGGCCTTCCTCCCTCTCTTTAAGGAAAACAGCATCATCTTGGATGATCTTAAGGACATCTATGAATTCCTCAAGACTCTGGCCCTTGCTCATATCTACCTCTGGTTGGTACTTTGCCCGATGCTCTGGGTTTATTACCTTGGAGCTGTCTGAATTCAAAAGAAAATCAAAATCATATATTAGTTTCTAGTGACAACATCTAACGTCAGCTTCACAGATTATACTTTATAGTTCGTTGTATATAATAAACTAAAAACATTTTATATTATTTAAAATATAATATAATTATGGCAGTTCTGGTACTGTATACATAGATCAAGTAATTTCCATTGCTTATTTGACTGATGATATGAAGTAGGGAATTTAATAAGTTGACCAATCGTTAATACCTATATTTGCCATAGAGGGAGACTTCCAAGCCATATCTTGAATCCGCTTTGGGGTCAGGATGGCCTTCGACTGTTTTGGTGCCCGCCAAACACATTCTTTGGATGTGCTAGTTGGCTGGGATAGCCCAGTTCTCCATCCATACTCCACTTTAAACAAAATGGCAGCCACATGATTACATGCCTGTCCCAGTCCAGCAAAGCATGTGCAATAGGCCCTCAATATTTTGCCATCTTCACTGCTAGCAATCCAGGCCTGGTGTGGTGGGTCATTTAGCCTTTGAGAAGGAGTGACATTTGCTCTTAAAAGTATAATAGAAGAATTTGGGACATTAAAATGTTTCACTTCAAACACCCAGTTGGAGGCAAAATATGAATAAGCTTTTTGCTCTTTATAGTCCCTCAACAGACGTGTTCTTAAATTGGCATTTGATATTGCAACATCATGTTCCTTTAAAAATTCTGAAATGTCATATATTGTGATGGGAGGCCATAGCTCGATGCTCTTGGGTTCTCCTGTCCAAGAATCCACCACGAATGGGTCTGGAATCCTGATATCACCTATGACTAGCAGGGATTGATATGTCCTACTAATTTCCTCAGCTCTTTCAGTGGCACTTTTACTTACTGGGACATTGGCTAATGCAGCTGCATAAACCTAAAAATACAAGCCATTTGTGAGACTATGTCATATTTCACTGTAATAAAGAGATGTGCTTGTATTAAGAAAATGTTTAATACATAATATAGTCTGTAATTTCTAAAAATCAAAGGTTGAAAATCATTGGGTCTTAAACGTAGATGATCGATAGGGTAGTGTAGGGTATGTGCAGTTTAAAATTCTAATTTTACGATTTAAGGGTATTTGAAACGATTTACTCTGAAATTTCACATACAGAGTTCCGTAACTCTATGCTAAGCAGTTTAGTATATTAACTTAAGTTGGAATAATAATACATATAATTCATAAATGATCGTAACTTAAAATTTCAGTGCACTAAGTTTCCTTAAATATGAGAGTAGTTTCGACGGACTTACCTTGGCCACTAACATTTCTTTCTTTCCTACTGTTGAAAGATCTCGTCTTCTAAGATATTCCTTCAATGCTTCTACGCTCCACATTGACACAATTTCATATATTTCATCCTCATTCAACGATAAAACATTTAACTCTCCAGCCGACGCCATTACTTTCTTTGTTCGCACATGTGCTTTTATTACCCAAACAAACTGATCTCGCCGATTCTCACAGCGCGAGATTAATGGCCGCGGCAACCAGAAACTGGAGTATTGCGGCCGATTTTAAACAATAGAGTCTATGTGCAACGTCTGTCGTTTCTTTTATCTCCAGTGGTGTGTAAAATGGGACATGCTGCAGTAGAAACAGGTTGAAGTGAATGTTTTCTGAAGTGTGGTCACAACAAAACAAAATGTTAAAATGGAATTTCATGATGTGAAAAAGTTTTAAAGAAATAACCATGTCTTGCCAATATGATCTATTTATTTATGTATTCCTTTATTTCTCAGATGAAAGCAGTGATCCTGGCAGCAGGGTATGGAACAAGACTAGAGAGAGATCTCAGAGATGACCGCTCAGGGCAGTACAGTCATCTGATAGGGGTGCCCAAACCACTGCTGCCCATCGGACACTGTCCACTGATATCACACTGGACGAAGGTGCTGACCACACTGCCCAGCTTGGATGGTGTTTATGTCGTGGTGAGTATGGAGTTAGTGAGGATGTCTTTGCTAACTGTGGTACTCAGTGGTGCAGATCCAGGGATATTTTTGAAAGTCTTCCAAATTATCTTTGTTGATCCGTCCTTCATATTTGACCATATTCTGAAAAAAATACGTGCCCATCAATATAAATTTTAAAAAAAATTCTAACCATCTTCTGGAAAACCCAGAGGACAGCTTCTGTCTGCTCCTGGTACATGTTTGGTTTACTTACAAGTTCATGTTGGTTTGTATCAGCTAGGGGTATTGGGGGGGTCATTTCCTAGAAATTTCTTTGCTATTTGGGGTTGTACAGGGGAGTTCAAAGTTTCTTTATCCAGAAATTTAATGTCAACTTGAGTTAAACACACTTGAAAAATGAGACAGGACATCATTTAATTATATTCTGATCAAGACATTATATGGCCAAAGAGACAGTTGCCCTGAACCCCATCACCCCCAGAATAAGACATGTGACAAATAATTATTTACTGGTAAAATATAAAATTTATAAAAGGTAAATGACACACTTTAATTGTTACACAATGGAAACATATTGTTTGTGATAATGTTGCATCATATTTTTATAAAGATATGATCATCAACCTTTCATTAAAGCAGCAGCAAGTAAATTGTAACATTAATTGTGCATAAAATTACACCTCACTCCCCAGACCAATGGTGCCAACCATGAGAAGTTTGTGACGTGGGCCAAGGACTGGAGCTGTGTACAGCTGGTGTGTGATGGAAGCATGTCGAATGAGGTAAGTCATGCACAGCACATGCATGCATGATGTATGCACCAAGAAACACACTCTGACTCATGTCTTTATTGTGATATCTTCTTTATTTGCTTGAATTTTATTTTGAAAATTTGTTCATAATAAGATTTTTTTTTTCAAGTGCCAAAATAATAAAACAAAAATTAGAAAGTCAAAAGACAATTAATTATCAAATAAGTATGTATTGAAAGATGATGTTATTTTCTCTCTTGGTATCACAAGGGCAGGACAGGAGCAGTGGGATGTTTAGAACTGTGTGTCCGACAATATAATGTCCAAGATGATCTACTAGTCATAGCAGGGTAAGTGGTGTGTCCAGTTTTTCCTTTAGTATTAAACCCCCTTTACTCTAGACAACATCCTTTTCTGCCTCCTTTATGCAAGCATGAAACTGGCTGTGGTCGCAGAAAGGAGCACAAGCATCAGTTTGGTGTCAAAATGAATGCTCAGTGATCGGCCAGTTGCCGGCATGTATTTTCCTTTTTTTTACTCTCAAACAGAGCTGTGCCACGGGACACAGAGAGGACACTGTCCAATGTTAAGGAGGCTTTAGTATAGAGCCTACTAGTGTCTTATCATTTGGCAAGAAGCACCTGCAGGGGTGTTGCAAGCAGCATGTATTGTTTGAAATATAGCCTGGAAATTTTTTGGGTTAAATAGAAAATTGACACATTTAAATTTAAAGCTTTAGAAAATTTTTTGCTACAGTACCTGTAATAAACTGTCTAGTGACATTGAGCAGTCAATTTGGTATTTATTTTATACATTTTATTTCAACCAGTATCAATTTTAATTAAGTAAATGTAATGTTTATTTTTACAGTGACACCCTATTTTTTGATGACTTCGACTTGAGTCAGCTTGTCCAGAAATTTGAGTCATTTAAAACCAAAGACCCAGATGCCAGTATGCTGGTCTATGTGACATGCACAGATGAAGGTAAGTAAGGGAAAATAATTAGGTGTGTAATTGAAATAAACAAAAATATCAAAAATAAATAGATAATAAATCAAAAAGGAACAAGCAGAACAGAGAGAGCTTATATTCTGATAATGATATAATTTGAATTCCAGAATTAACCACTACTTGTACATGTTACCAGTATGTTATATATTTATACAAGGACAAGACATAAAACTTAAATTTTAGCATTTGTTAATTTATATGACTACTTTCCGTTTCCTCCTAATTTCAGAATAATTTAATGGAACATTTTATCAGCCATTCCTGTAAACAATATCTGCCATTTGCAGGGGCGGATCCAGAGATATTTTTTGATAGTCTTCCAAATTTTCCTTGTTGATCCATCTCCCATTTTTGACCGTCTTCCGACAAAAAAATGGATGCTCGTCAATGTGTACATGAAAATCTGAGCATCTTCCGAAAGACCCAGAAGATGGCCTCAATCCGCACCTGATTTGATAATCACAATGTTAAATTCAATGACATCTAAATTGCTGTTCTTTGATCCACTTACAGAAGTTCACAAGTACGGGATTCTTGAACTGAATGAAGAGAAAAAGGTGGTTGGATTCCTTGAAAAACCTCAACCCGAGGAGACTTCATCTAGGAAAGAGGTAGTGCATCCTGATTTAACTCAAAAATTGACCTTTTACTTTTTATCAATAAATCATATTAAACACTGCCACATATGATAAATTGGAACACAGTTGGTTTTCTGTCACTTTGGTAACGTTAACTCTCCAGTTCATTGATTGAGAAAACTGGTATGTCTGTGGTAATTGATGGAATTAATAGAATTGTTGTGTATTAATTTTGTTTTGCTTTGAAGAATTATGAATATATACATGTGTATGATTTTGCAATGTCCAATATATGTGATGCCTTCATCTAATTGTGTACTTAATGACACTGGAAATTATTATTATTATTATTATTATTATTATTATTATTATTTTATTATTTTTTTATTGGAGTAAATGTTGTCTAATAAAGATAATTAAAAGGGTACATAATTAGCTTTTTTCTTGTTTAATTTATCAGTTTCTATCCATTATTTTTAGTGCCCATGTTTTTATTTCTTGTCATCCAAGTGTCTTCCACTGCTGTCTCAGTTCTTAGAGGAGAAGAAGGTGAGTATGGTGACCTGAGGAAAATATCTGTGACCTGAGGAAAATATCTGTGTGGAAAACAGAGTGTGATTTCTTTAGACTCGTTTCAGTTATGTGAATGAAGAGTTCTCTTGTTGGATAGCATAGATATTTTTCCTGATTTTAGTTTCTGTTTTATGAGTGGTGTCAGTTTTTCTAACAAAAATGTATATATGCTAGCATTATTAAAGCAGCATAGATCTATAAATAAAGAAGAAAAAAACATGAAATAAATTTCAATTTATTTTAAAGAAAAGCCATTGTCTAATTTACTATAAATCATACTTAGCAGAAGATTTTAAAAGACTAGTCTAAGAAAAGTATGTCAAAACTGAATATTATTCATTAAACACTGTATTTCTTTCACTCTAGAATTTGCCATTGAAGGCCAGAGATGCAACTGGAAACTTTATTGCTTATTTATACCAAAGGTAAATTATGGTGTTTTTATGTCTTATATGCATAGTCACATACAATTTCCATTAGGGAATAGAATCAGCAACTAAGACATTGCATTCATTATATTTAAAAGACAATAGAAAAGAAGTAAGTGGATTTCAAAATTTAATATATGTAGCTTAAATGTATCTGTACGGTCAATTTTGTGAATCAGCAGCATTTGTGTGCAGATATTTCAAGAAACTGAAGCACCACCAGATGTCAGCACCTGACTGCCTCCTAAAATAGCTCCATGTGCTCTTAGGGGCCATTGAGAACAGGGGACTCACTAGTCCAAGGGTCAAATACGGTGACCCACTACAAAGCTTGCTGTCTAATCTGCTAATAGACACTGAATAGACATCCCATGGGGAAGTATTCAAGTGGGTCGGCCATATTTGACCCTAGAACTACAGCAGTTAGTCCCCTATTCTGAATGGGGCCTTACAGCTGGTCTTCTATTCCAGGCAGGGCTTTCCCCAGTTTTCTTGAGCCACATTTACAGATTTTTTTGGTTTCTTTTCCAGAGCTCCAGTATATGCCACGGAGATTTCTGGGCGTTTTGATGTCGGTGGACTCCAATCCTACGTCATCTGTCATGAGCATTTCAAGAAAAAAGCTGAGACTGAATTTTTAGGATGACGAAGAGTGTAGATTCATGTGTAGTGTAGTAGATAAAAAAATAATTTGAAAGCACTCATAGATTGGGTCTTTGAGGGTCTCATAGTTGTAGCTTATGTCTCTTTATAGATCACAGTACTTCAGAATAGTATTTAGAGACAAATATAAGTGCCACCTACAGCTGAGACTCCGGTAGATGGTGTCGCCCTCTATTGACATGCAGAATTCTCAAGAATGTCTGTTTGACTGTACAGCTTCCCACGGAGCTGAAAATAGCTTGGATAATGGACAGCTAAGAAGAGCGATTGGGTTGGCTGGTGGATGTTGCAATATTATTTTATAGTTACGAGTATTTATTTATTTTCTGTAAAAATTTAACTTGAAGACTATAAAACTTGAGCCCAACTTCAGTGGCTGCCATGGTAAAAATAAAGATATGTCATTTTAAACCACACTGTGTGAACGTGATTGCCTTTTACTTTGGAAGAATTGCTCAGTAATGGTTAAAATATTTATTGTTATTATTATTATCATTTTAGTACAAAACCAATAATTTAATAGGGCGATGATCAGTATTTCATGTTTTCCATGGCCAGAAACTGCATCTATGTGAAAAGTTAATGATATAATAAAAAAAAGAAAATAATATTTTCAAACTTTTTTATTCATCGTCTATTTTCAAAATGAAAACGAGCTATAAATGGCTGCTAAATGCATTTAAAGATATTATTTCATGAAAAATGTACCAAATCAGAATCACATCCAGTCAACATAATTTGTCATGTCACTATTTCTACAATTTAAAAACCACAACAGCTATGAAGTAACATCCTATTATATATAAAGCACCATATAACTTTTTGTACTTATATATCAGAGGTCAAGATTGTGTGAAATGTCAATGTCAAGGTCAGATGGTCACGCCCCTACACAGACCCATCTGGGAGTACACCTGCACCATGGCCTCGGCCCCTGAACGAGCATATAAGACACCACGTCCTCGCACCCAATGTGTACTCCTGGACGCACTCCCGGAAGGAGCTGATGACGTCACAGGGGTCAACACCCTGCATGAGGTCAATGACCATGAGGTCACCACAGTGGCAGATACTGGCCTACAGTAGCTGCAGCGTGCGATGGTAGAGCTGTTGTCCGATCCTGCAAATATATAAAATAATAATAATAATATTTATTTATAGTCTAAAATCCAACATGTGTTCAGTAGACTTTACAAAAATTATTAAATTCAAATTAAAAGAAAAATATTGCTTATGGTTATAAGATGAAAAAAAGAAGGAAAATGATTATAGAAAAATATTAAAGATGAAATATTAGGATATATAAAATGGATAAAAAAGGGGAAAATTAAAACTATAACTAAGAACAGATTTTCTTAAGAAGTGTTTTTTCAAGAATTTAAAGATAATATTGTTTCAAAAGGTGGGTTTTTAGTTCCTTTTTAAAATGTCCAGGGTCCACAATTTGTCTAAGACTGATGGGTAAAATATTCCATTCTTTTGGTGCTTCAGATTTAAAAGCTTTATCACCGTATGATACTAATCTTGCCTTATAAGCCTTAAGAAGAAGGTGATCACCTGATCTGAGATTTCTTGATGGCACGTAGTGTAAAACAAGCTCATTTAAATAAGAAGGTGCAAGTTTATAAAATGCTGCATGTGCAAATGTTAAAAGTTTGAATAAAATGCATGCTCGGACAGGGAGCCAGTGCAACATCATTAAAACAGGAGTAATGTGGTTGTCTTTTGGAGTGCGGGTCAGTAGGCGAGCAGATATATTCTGCACACGCTGTAGCCGTTTGATTTGTTCCTCTGAAGATCCATAAAGAAGGGAGTTGCAGAAATCAAGTCTTGATGTAACCAGGGCATGTATAACTGTTGCTGTAGTAGAGTCGGTTAAATGTTTTCGTAAGGAACCAATGTTTCTAATATTGAACATACATGTTTTAGATACGTTAGAAATTTGCCTGTTCATGGACAATGTACTGTCAAAATAAACTCCCAGATTTTTGGCGTGAGATGAGACTTGTACCACGCTGGCACCTATTGACATGCTAAGACTGCGGGCAATGTNGAAACCAAAAAAAAAAAAAAAAAAAACTTATTAAATTTTTTAAAAAGTCAAAAACCCGGGGGGTTCCCCGTCCAAAGGAAAAAAAAACCCAAATAGAATGTAAAAAAAAAAAAAAAAAAAAAAAAAAAAAAAAGGCAGCCCTAACGTCAATGGCAACAGTGAAAACACAACCAAAGCGACGTCAATACGATGGACAGCTGAGATGTGCACAGTGACCTTAAATAACGTTGTACCATGTTGAAAGTCAATTTTAAGTTATATTTAAGAAAATAGATAAAAATATGTCGTAGACTCCTGCAATCTTGTCGTGTACTAGTGGACCGGTCGACTAGTCAAAAGTGGAATTGGCGCACGCGCAAGGACCTTAAGTGTGACCATAAATAAATGAATAAGAATGTTTCAATAAATCACAGCCAAGGCAATGATAACAGACGGCACACGTGCTCCTACCTGAGAAGCGTTATAAATGTTCAGGGTGGCTCTCAACGTGAGCAGCGCCTGCAGTGTACACCGCTTTATTGTCGTCTTGTAGCAGTCTGCGCCGCCTGCGAAAGATAGAAGTGCTAAGTTACCAACTGTAATACCATTTAGTAAACTGTTTTATGACCATTCAATTGCTTTTATTTTTAATATGAAAAACTGAACTATCATAAAAGTATAAATTATACTAATATAAGCGTGGAATTTTTTTCAAAGAAGTGAAAAAGAAAACATTTAGAGCTCTTAACAAATCGGTATATTTCTTACACAAATTTGAAGATCAGTGTTTAGCTTATATACATGTATATCTATCGGTAAGTGGAACATGGGTCAATATAAATTGGGAAAAATAATTCATTATTGACCATCCATGTGTAACTTACCTGTCAGAATGATTTTCAATGAGGTAGCCTCCGCCTCCCCCAACTTCCCGTCACCTGCAGTGCAAAACAGAGCATGTAATCATCACATATTTTTTTTCAGTTAAAAGTGAGATGTCTATGCCTATATAATATCTATGACCTCTGAATAGTGTTAGGAGCGTTTCGTTTTTGACACTTTCTTTCTTTCTTTTTATCTATGATGGCTGCCCTTTGTCCAGGGCGTTCTCGTTGAGTAATTTTAAAAGTCACCAAACCTAGATGAAACCAAAACAGAACAACTTGGCAAGAGAGGTAATTCTCCCTCGATACTCACTGTTTTTATCAAACTCTTTAAAAGTTTGCTCAGACATATAGGCAGGCACGGTAAAGCAGGTGCGGTACTCTATTTCCTCCAGGAAATTGTCGCCATTCCCGTCACAGAGACGCGAGATCTCGTTGGAGGGAATCACGAGGGGCCCTATGACGTCACTGGTGGTTGATCGTCTGGCACGCCTGTGTAGAAAGCATGTAAATGTATGAAATTACCCGCATTCATTAAATTAGAGATACATAAATCTGACGCAATGGCGTCACGCTTCACCAAAAAGAAAATTCTGTCGCAATTTGAACATTCAGTACTGTGCAAAAAATAATATTGAGGTGAAGCGTTAACCTTTTTCCGTGAACAAAAGATGTTCCTAGAGTTAAAAATATTTTTAAAAAAGTCCATTGGCCCGTATCATAAAATTCTGTCTTGAACTCTTAGGTAAACCGCAGTGTTATCAAACTGATAGAGCCTAGGAAAGGACGCTAGCTGATAGTTTACGGATGTGTCAAAATGGCAACCATGACTGGATATGGAGGGATGTTTACATTGCATTGTCAATACAATGTGCCGTATCTGGCAGTGTTTACATTACAGCAACCTGCCACTTAGGGACCATTCAGAATAGAAAATCCGGGTATCAACTGGCCCAAGGCTCAAATATGGCGGACCCTACATGAAGGGAAGATCGCTCAATCCTGTTATGGTCTCTATCACCCCATTCTCATAGATTAGATCGACCTACATTGGATCGACCTAACTCCCTGGGGGTTCACGCTAAATAGCTGTCAGCCGGGCGGACACGAAAGTTAATTTCCCCTTATAGCTTGTAGTAGGCGGGGACGGACACTTAAGGCGGATTATCTGACAGTAATCTAGTGAGACTCCCCGCGGTGATAGATCGATCTAAAAGTTGTGAGAACAGAGCCTATGCCTCTCACACGCCTCCCCATGCGTCGTCCCTGCAGGGGCACAGTGGTTAAACCTTGGCTTCATCCTCTTTTATATAGGGTCCGACACATTTGAGCCTTGGACCAGTTGATACTCAGACCTTCCATTCTTAATGGCCCCTTTGACTCAGGGGTGAAGCACTGCAGTTTAACCTATAGCTGAATGATACATTTTGGTATCAAATAATTCAGACCTTCTCTGTTGCGTTAGAAATGTATTAAGTGAAACTACGATATCTGTGATTTAAATTAAAATTCTTTCCAGTCCTTTTGAAGATAAACAGTTATCGGCCGAAGTAACCAGGTTTTAAGAATATCTCGTAGTTTCAGTTTCTATTTCCTTGTGACAGCAATTTCGTACCCGAATTTTCTTACTCGCAACAAACTTTACTATCACTTTCGGCTTTTTGATGTTTAATTCATAATAGAAATATACATGCTCCTCAATATTAACAGATACCATATCCAGTTTGATTAACTGAAGCATACAGAATATTTCATCTTAATCCTATCTCGTACTAACTGCTTTGATTCATTCATTCATTAATGGGTGAAATTGTCACTTCTTACCTTAAATATTCACTGTCTTGGCAATATCATATTTCAAAGCATTAAAACTGTTGGATAGAACTAAAGCAATTTAAACATTCTTCTTCTTCTATTTCTTCTTCTTCTTATTATTACGTTTTTTATTTTTATTTTGAGAGAGAGAGCTTTCAGCTACCACCTACTACCCACTTCACAGTCAGTTATTAATTAAAAATTAACAACACCTTACCATTCCATGCCCATCTCCACATAACACCCTCTCAG